AAAAATTATCTACCATGAGCAAGTAGGCTTCATCCTCGGGATGCAGGACTGGTTCAATATCCACAAGATCACAAACATAATTAAATATATCAACAGATATAAAGACAAAAACCACATGATTATATCATTAGATGAGGAAAAAGCTTTTGATAAAATCCAGCTCCTCTTCTTGATTAAAAACCCTCGAGCAACTAGGCATAGATGGAACATACCTCAAAAAAGCTATCTGTAAGATACCCACAGCCAATATACTGCTAAACAGAAATCTGAACCATTTCCCCTGAAAGCCGGAATAAGACAAGGATGCCCACTCTCACCCCTCCTGTTCAACATAGTATTGGAAGTCCTATCTAGAGCAGTCAGACAAGAGTAGGAAATCAGGGGTATCCAAATAGAAAAAGAGGAAGTTAAGTTATTCCTCTTTGCAGATGACACGATTGTGTCCCTTGAAAACCCAAGAGAATCTGTCAAAAACCTCCTTGCACTGATAAAGGACTTTGACAAAGTCTCAGGGAATAAAATAAATATGCAAAAGTCAGTCACATTCCCATACACCAATAATAAACCCAAATGAAAAGCACAATCCCATTCACAATAGCCACACGAAAAAATGAAATCCTTTTTTAGGCATCTTCCTAACCAGAGAAGTTATAGACCTGTACAGCAAAAACCACAAAACAATACTCAGAGAATCAAAGACAGCACAAATGGAAAAATATTCCATGCTCATGGATTGGCAGCATCAACATTGTTAAGATGTCCATCCTACCCAAGGCAAACTACAGATTGAACACAATACCCACTAAATTACAAGTAGCATTCTTCTCAGACCTGGAAACAACAATATAGGAATTCATACGGAAGCATAAATGACTACAAATGCCCAAAACAGTCCTCAGCAAAATAAAACAAAGTGAGAGGCATCACGCTCCCAGACTTTAGGCTTTATTATAAAGCAACAATAATCAAAACAGTCTGGTATGGGTGCAAGAACAGGCATATAGACCAATGGAACAGGATTGCAATTCTGGAAGCAAAACCTCAATTTCTCAATCAACTCCTCTTTGACAAAGCCTCCACCATCAACCACTGGGGAGAGGAGAACCTATTCAGTAAATGGTGCTGAGAAAACTGGCTGACCACATGCAGAAGATTAAACAAGACCCCTACTTATCACCATACACAAAAATCAACTCTAAGTGGATCCAAAACCTAAACATAAAACCTCAAACTATAAGAACCTTAGAAAATACAGGAGACACGATTTGGTTGAGAAATTGAGGTTGTTTCTGGAATCTCTATCCTGTTCCATTGGTCTGTATGCCTGTTCTGATACCAATACCAGGCTGGTTTGATTATTGTAGCCTTATAGTAAAGTTTAAAGTCTGGAAGTGTGATACCCCCTGCTTTGTTTATTTTGCTAAGGATTGTTTTGGCTATTCATGATCTTTTATGTTTCCATATGAATTTCTGTATTGTCATTTCCAAGTCTGAAAAGATTGATGTTGGTAATTTAATGGGTATTGCTTTGAATCTGTAGATTGCCTTGGGTAGGATGGACATCTTAACAACATTGATTCTTCCAATCCATGAACATGGAATATTTTTCCGTTTGTTTGTATCTTCTTGGAGTTCTTTGAGCAGTGTTTTGTAGTTTTCATTGTGAAGGTCTTTCACTTCTCTGGATGGGAAGATGCTGAGATATTTCTTTTTTTGTGTGGCTATTGTGAATGGGATTGTGCTTTATATTTGGTTATCTGCCTGTTTATTGTTGGTGTATAGGAATGCGACTGTCTTTTGAACATTGATTTTGTACCCTGAAACTTTGCCAAAGTCCTCAGTGCAGGGAGGTTTTTCATAGATTCTCTTGGGTTTTTAAGTTTTGGAATGATATCGTCAGCAAAGGAGGGTAACTTCCTCTTTTCCTATTTGTATACCCTGATTTTCTTCTCTTGTCTGATTGCTTTAGCTAGGACTTCTAACACTATGTTGAACAGAACATTGTCTTGTTCCGCTTTTCAGGGGAAATGCTTCCAGTTTCGGTCAGTTTAGCAATATGTTGGCTGTAGGTTTATCATAGTGGCTTTTACTATTTTGACATATGTTCCCTCTATGCCTAAGTGTTCAAGGGTTTTTAATCAAGAAGGAACACTAGTTTTTATTGAAAGCTTTTTCTGTGTCTGATGATATAATCATGTGGTTCTTGTTTTTACATCTGTTGATGTATTTAATTGCATTTATGATCTTGTGGATGTTAAACCAGCCCTGCATCCCGGGGATGAAGCCTACTTCGTCATGGTGGATGATTTTTGAGATGAGTTGTTGAATCTGATTTGCTAGAATCTTGTTGAGAATTTTTGCATCTATGTTCATCAGGGATATTGGCCTGTATTCTCTTTCTTTGTTGGATATTTACCTGGTTTGTGTATCAGTGTAATGGTAGCTTCTTAAAATGATTTGGGGAGTGTTCCGTCTTGTTGATTTCCTGGAATACTTTCAAGAGAATTGGCATCAGCTCCTCTTTGTATCTTTTGTAGAATGTCACTGGAGAGCTCTCTGGTCCAAGGCTTTTTTTTTTTTTTGGTAGGTAGTTTTCTTATGATGGAGTTGATTGCTGGGTTGTTATTGGTCTATTTAAGGTCTGAATTTCTTCTTGCTTCAACCTTGGGAGGTTGTGTGATGTCAGAAAGTCCTCCATTTCGTTTAGATTTTCGAGTGTGTTTCCATACAGCGGTGCATGGTAATCTCTGATAATCTTTTGTATTTCTTTGGGACCAGTTATGACTTGATCTTTTACATTTCTGATTTTGTTTATTTGGGCTTTCTCGTTCTTTTTCATGGTTAATCTGGCTCACGGTCTGACAATCTTGTTTATCCTTTCTGACAATCAGCTTTTTGTGTTGTTGTTTTTTTTCTATGATATTTTTGTCTTCTATGTTTCATATTTGGGCTTTTACTTTGGTGATCTGGATTCTTCTGCTAAAGTTGAGGCTTTGTTGGTCTTGTCTTTCCAGCTCCCTTGGGTGATTTGCTAGGCTGTTAACTTGTGATCTTTCTATTGTCTTAATGTGTATTTATAGAGATATAAATTCCCTTTTTAGTATTGACTCCATGGCATCCCAGAGGCGTTGGTAAGATGTGTCTTTATTTTTGTTTCCAGGAATCCTTTAATTTCTGCTTTGATTTCTGTGTTGATCCAGGTGTTATTCAGTGTCATGCTGCTTAGTGTCCATGTATTTGTGTGTTTTGGGAGAATTTTGTTGGTGTTGATATTTACTTTTATTCAACTGTGGTCTGAGAAGGTACATGGTAGTAGGTTTCGATCTTATGAAACTTGATTATGCTTGATTTTTGGCCGAGGATGTGGTTGATCTTGGAATGTTGATGAGTAGAATGTATATTCCGTAGTCATTGGGTAGAGCATGTTCTGTAGGTATCTGTGAAGTTCATTTGGTTATGCATCTAGTTGAGGTTCTGGATCTCCTTGTTTTTTTGCCTCGATGATCTGTCTAGGGTTGTTAGTAGGGTATTTAAATTCCCAGCTATGATAGTGTTAGAGTCAATATCTTTTTAGTTACTTTAGTACTGCTTTATCAAACCTGGTATTCCTGTGTTGACTGCATATATGTTTAGGATGGATATTGCTTGTTTATGGATTGAGTCTTTTATCATGTAATATCCTTCCATATCTTCTAAAATTTTTGATATTCAGCCTGTTTTCTAATACCTTTCGTATCTCCTTGTGTTTAAGAAGTGAGATACACAATTGTGATCCTGAACTATGGATGAAACTGAGTTGTAATTGGTATTATAGTTAGTATTTTATATAACAAATCTCCCCAAACTTAATGTTATAAAACAACAACCATTTTATAATGCTCAAGGATTCTGTGGTCACTAATTCAGAATGGGCCTAGCAGGAAGGTTTGTCTCTGTTCCACGGTGTCTGGGGCCTCAACTGGGAAGACTTGAAGGCTGATGGTAGCTAAACAGCTGGATTGATCTGAAGACTCAGTCACATTTCTGGCAGTTGATGCTAGCTTTTGACTGGGACCTCAGCCGGAACTGTCATCTGAAATACCCATGGAATCCTTTCCATGTAGTCGTTTGCTCACAACATAGTGACTGGGTTTCAGAAGTGAGCATCCAAAAGAGCAAGTCATAAGTACATGTGATTTTGTGATCTGGTGTTAGAAGTCACAGGGCATCATTTCCATGTTTTCTATGACCCACCCATGTTCACAGGAAAGGAATATAGATCCCATCCTCAGTGAAAGTCAGTCATATAATAAGAGGAGTATGTGTGTTGGAGACACTGTTGTGATCTTCTTAGGGAAATGAAGTCTCCCAAGTTGAAAAAAACAAATATTTTTTCATTGTTAGTAAGCTGGTGTGGGAACTTTTAGAACTTCTTTATTTTATTTTTTCTTTGTTTTAAAGAGGTGGGATATAATTCAGGGTTAGTTATGCAAATATTCATTATGCAGGTACCCTTGTTGATGAGGTGTGCCCTTCCCTCCCCTGGCAGTTTCCCTCAACTGCCAATCCCAACCCCCCTCCCCTGGCAATTTCCCATTACTGCCAATCCTTTTATTATAGTATTATGATAATTGTTCAGGGTCTTCTTATGAGTGAGAACATATGGTACTCTGTTCTTTGTTTCTGTGATAGATCATTGAGAATGATAGACTCTAAATCCATCCAGTTGCTGCAGAGTCCCTAAGTTTGTCCTTCTTTATGGCTGCATAATATTCCATTGTGTATATGTACCACATTTTTTAAATCCTGCACAGAACTTATTATTTTTTTTTTAACAATAAAGGTTGAAACAAGATTTTAAAGTTTAATCTCCTCGGGTAAATCTTAATATAATAACCCTATTCATAATAATTTTATGAATTAAGATTTTATAATGGTATTTGTTTTATTATATAACTTTTTCTATTTTCTATTAATAACACTTTTCCAGGTAGATTTTTATTAATATTTTTATTTTGCAGATAAATCTGTAAAATGTAATATGGATTCACTGAAAGATTCACCTCAAAACAAATCTGAAAAGAAACAGCATTACATCTCTTTAAAAGATGTAAATAAGGTTGTATTTTTTAAATGTTGCTTACGTATAAAGTTCATATAATGCTAATTTTAGAATATTTTATTTTGAAAGATAGATAACTAAAATATGTTTTCCATTAAAAAATCTTTGGCTATGATAGTTTTATTGAAGAAAAATTATAGTTTGCCGGATGACTTATTTTGTAAGAACTAAGTTACTTGAACTTTTCTTATGACAAGCTCTTGTTCTTGACCTAATGGCCTCCATGCAAAATTGGGTGTTTATTCTCATTGTAGCAAGGGTTCTGGGACATTCTAATAGGTAAGTTCAGGTCTAACCTGCCCTCCAGTCCCTTTGATAAGACAGATGAAAATAATTGCAAGACATTTTAAATATTGATAATCTGAAATGCCAGCTACTTGCTATTTGGACACTTTATTCTGGTGCTTATAACAGTGGTGCAATCACCCAACTTTCCAATTCTTTTTCTTTACATATCTGTGTATGCATGAAAATTGTCTGGGGTGGATGTTGATAAGAATAATTCCCATGAAATTTTGCTTCCAAAAGAATATATATTTTGCTAGCTTATGTGTTCTTTCTGAAAACTTTTTTTACAGTGTGTCGAATCTTCAGCATACTGGCCAACAAAAAGAGGCATAACCATATATGCTGATCCAGATACACCAGCAACAAGGTTTGATTTGGAAAAAAAAGAAATTCAGTATAATTGTCTAGAGACTTAAGGGTGCTGTTGTCTTCTACAGTGTTCTGTAAGACTGATGATGAGGAAGTATTCCATTTCCAAAAAAGAACAGTCCAGAAAATTTTGATCGAACAAATATTAATGTAAAGGAGATGTTGTGGCAACTGGTAAGCAGCACAATCACCTGTAAACTGGTGGTGGTGCTGGAGGCCCTTCTGTCTTGTTGGACAAAGTTGTTTTGTAAGGCAGGGCCAACAAAGGTTGCCATGGGGTGCTCTGGATGTGAAGGGTGGCCTGATGTGGGACAGATGGCAATGCAAGGTGCGTGGTTGCAAGTGGGTGGAAAGCCAAGATGGTTTGCTGTCTTCTTAAAGATGAGCATCAAAGGCTTGGACTGTGACTCTGTCCTCTTTGAGATACATGTGAGTAACATTAATGAAATCACAGAAAGGATGTCATATTATACCACTTTGTGAATATTATAAGAACTCAAAATAGTATGTTTTCATTTTTCCCCTCCTGGATTTTATCATTTTCATTCATTTAATTTTGCATATATTGTAAGTTCTAGAATCGGTTATCATTCTTATTTAAACAGCCAGTTATCTCTCAGAGAGATTTCACTAGTAAGAAAAAGATCTTATATATTTACATATGAAGTTACATTGGTATTCTTCACTTTTTGTATGGATCCATATTTCCATTTGATATAATTTTCCTTCTATCTGAAGGACTTTCTTTAATATTTCTTGTATTGTGGGTCTGACGCTTGTTTATGAAAAATGTCAAACTTTGTAATATTTAAAAAGGTTTATTCTGAGCCAAATGTGAGCGGCCTAGGCCCATCACACTGTTCCAAGAGGTCCTGAGAACGTGTGCCTGAGGTAGTTGAATTGCAGCTCGGTTATATATATCTGAGGAAGACAGAAGTTGCCAAAAAACCTGTAAATCAGTACATGTGAGATTTACATTGATTCGGCTCAGTAAGACAGGACATCTCCAAGTGGGGGCTTGCAGGTCACAGATGGATTCAAAGATTTCCTGATTGGCAGTTGGTGGTAAGCTTTTTCTTAAGTAATGTTGATGTTAGTAGAGGAAATACCCTCTTGAGATGGGGGGCCTTGAGATAAGGGCACGGAGGAAGTCAAGCTTCTTGATACGTAGATGAAGGCTCATAGGTGGCAACCCTGAGAGAGAGAGAGAGAGCAAACATCTAGCCCTCTGTAGACCCCTGGAAAAGGGGATTCATGACAGATGCAGATTTCCCCGAGAGTTGGCTTCGCAGGGTCACAAAATATTTTGATTTTCTTCTTTATCTGTTATGTAATGTTATGCCACTGTCGGGCTGGAAAGCAATCAAAGTTATATAGGGCGAATAAAAACCCATCCACTGTAATCCTAGCACTTTGGGAGGCCGAGCTGGAAAGATTGCTTGAGCCCAGGAGTTCAAGACCAGCCTGGGTAACATGGTAAGAACTCATCTCTGCAATAAATCAAACAAATAAGCTGGGCCTGGTGGCTCCCACCTGTAGCCCCAGCTACTTAGAAGGCTGAGGCAGAAGGATTGCCTGAGTCCGACTGGTCAAGACTGCAGTGGCTGTGATTGTGCCACTGCACTTCAGCCTGGGCAACAGAGTGGAATTCCAACCAAAAAAAAAAAGAAAAGAAAAGGAAGAAAGAAAGAGAGAAAGAAATTTGGCAGTGAAGTCAGAGCTAAGTCCTCATCCTGATGAACTCTTTCAGCTTTCAGTTATTATTTATTTGAAAATTATTTATTTTAGTTTGAGTTTTGAAAACAAATATCTTGACTCGGTATAGAGTTCTAGACTGGCAGTACTTTCCTCTTTAAAAAACATTTTTTTTTAAATAGAAATGAGATCTCACTATGTTGCCCAGGCTGATCTTGAACTTGCAGATTCAAGCAATTCTCCTGCCTCAGTCTTCCAAATACTGGGATTACAGGTGTGAGCCACCATGCCCAGTCAACATAACTTTTCTCTTTATTTTAAAGATGTCGCTCCCCTGTCTTCTTGCTTGCATTGTTCTCAATGCATTATCTACTATCATCTTTTTATTTGTTCCTCTGTCTTTTTCTCTGCTTTTTTTTTTTTGAATTGGAGTCTCACTCTGTCGCCCAGACTGGAGTGCAGTGTCCACTCCCGGCCACTGCAGCCTCGACCTGCTGGGCTCCGGTGATCCTTCCGCCTCAGCCTTCCAAGTAGCCGGAATTACAGGCATGCACTACCACGCCCGGCTGATATTTTGATTTATTGTAGAGATGAGGTCTCGCTGCCCAGGCGGGTCTCGAACCCGCGGGCTCAGGCAATTCACTCACCTCAGCCTCCCAAAGGTGCGGGATTACAGGCTGAGCCACTGAGCCTGGCTATATTTGTATATCTTTTGAGAGATGTCTGTTCATGTCATTTGCCCCCTTTTTAATGGTGCCATTTGCTTTTTTTCTTGCTGATTTGAGTTCTTTGTACATTTGGATATGAGCCCATTGGCAAATACATAGTTTGCAAATATCTTCTCTTTGTCTGTAGATTGCCTGTTTACTCTGTTGAGTGTTTCTTTTGCTGTGCGGAAGTTTTTTAGTTTAATTAAGTTCCACTTACTTATTTTTATTTTTGTTGCATTCACTTTTGTGGTCTTAGTCATAAATTCTTTGCACAGGCCAATGTCCAGAAGAATTTTTCCTAGATTTTCTTCTAGGACTTTTATGATTTCAGTTCTGACTTACACGTCTTAATTCATCTTGAGTTAATTTTTGTATATGGTGAGAGATAGGGATCAAGTTGCATTTTTCTGCATGTAGCTATCCAGCTTTCCCACTATTTGTTGAATAGGGTATTCTTTTCTCAGTTATGTTTTTATTTTCTTTGTCAAAGATTAGTTGCTTTGGCCAGGCTCAGTGGCTCAACCTGTAATCCCAGGACTTTGGGAGGCCGAGGCGAGTGCATTGCGTGAGCCCGCGGGTTCAAGACCCACCCGAGCAACTTGGTGAGACCTCAATTCTACAATAAATAAAAAGTTAGCCGGGTGTGGTAACGCGTGCCTGTAGCTCCAGCTACTTGGAAGGCTGAGGTGGAAGGATCGCCAGAGTCCAGCAGGTCAAGACTGCTGTGGCCGGGAGTGTGCCACTGCACTCCAGCCTGGGTGACAGAGTGAGACTCCAACTCAAAAAAAAAAAAAAATTAGTTGATTTTAGGTGTTTGGGTTTATTTCTGGATTCTCTATTCCGTTACATTGGTCCATCTGTCTGCTCTTGTACCAGTACCATGCTGTTTTGGTTCCTATGGCCTTGTAGTATAATTTGAAGTCAGATAATGTGATGCTACCGGCTTTGTTCTTTTTGCATACAATTGCTTTGGCTATCCTGGCTCTTTTTTGGTTCCATATGAATTTCAAGATTTTTCTTCTAATTCTGTGAAAAAGGATGTTGGCGGTTTCACAGGGATTGCGTGGAATCTGTAGATTTCTTTGGGTAATATGGTCATTTAGACAGTGCTGAGTCTTTCAGTCCCTGAGCATGGAGTGCTTTTTCATTTGTTTGTGTCCTTTAGTTTCTTTCATCAGAGTTTTGTAGGTCTTCTTGTAGAGATCTTTCACCCCCTTGGTTAGATATGTTCCTAGGTATTTTAGATTTTTGGCTGCTATTGTTAATAGAATTGAGTTCTTGATTTGATTCGACTTGGTCGCTATTGATGTATGGCAGTACTTTTGATTCATGTATTGATTTTGTATCCTGAGACTTTTCTGAATTAATTTATCAAGTCCAGGAGTCTTTAGGATTCTCTAGGCATAAGATCATGTTGTTGACATACAGAGATAGTTTGGTTTCTTCTTTTCTGTTTTTTTGTTTTGTTTTGTTTTGTTTTTGAGTTGGAGTCTCACTCTGTTGCCCAAACTGGAGTGCAGTGGTATGCTCCCGGCTACCGCAGCCTCGACCTGCTGGGCTCCGGCGATCTTCCGCCTCAGCCTTCCAAGTAGCTGGAACTATAGGCATGCACTACCACACCTGTCTAATTTTGATTTATTGAAGAGACGAGCTCTCGCCAAGTTGCCTGGGTGGGTTTCGAACCCGTGGGCTCAGGTAATCCACTCACTTCAGCCTCCCAAAGTGCTGGGATTACAGGCTGAGCCACCAAGCCCAGACTGTTGTTTTTTTTTTAATTTTAAAGATGTAGGATACAATTCAGGATTAGATGGATAAGTGGTCATCATACAGGTAAAATTTGGACCTCCCTTTGGTCCCCACCTCACCTGGCAGTTTCCTGTTACTGCCAATCCTTTTTTATGGTAATTTATTATATTAATATTATAATAAATTATTATAATAAATATTCGGGGTCCACTTATGAGTGAAAACATATGGTACTCAGTTCTTTGTTTCTGTGATAGATCACTGAGGATGATCGATTCTAAATCCATCCAAGTTGCTGCCAAGTCCATAATTGTGTCCTTCTTTATAGCTGTGTAATATTCCATCATGTATATGTACCACTTTTTTTTATCCAGTCCACTTTCGATGGGCAGCACAGTTGGTTCCATGTTTTCACTATTGTGAATAATGCTGCAATAAACATGCGTGTGCAGGTATCTTTTTTATAGAATGATTTTAGTTCCTCCGGGTATATTACCAGAAGAGGGATTGCTGGGTCCCATGGAATATTGATTTTTAGATCTTGTAGGAATCACCACACTGCTTTCCACAGAGGTTGTATTAGTTTACACTCCCACCAACAGTGTAGAAGTGTTCCCTTTTATCCGCATCCTCTCCAGCATCTGTTGTTTTTTGAGTTATTGATGATGGCCATCCTGACCGGAGTTAGGTGGTATCTTCTTTTCGAGTTTTGATACTCTTGCCTGATTGCTCTGACTATGACTTTCATTGCTATGTTGAATAGGAATGGTGTAGGGGAGCATCCTTGCCTTGTTCCAGAGGGGAAATGCATTCAACTTTTCTTCATTCAGAATGAGATTGGCTGTGGATTTGTTTATATGGCTTTTATTATTTTGAGGAATATTCCTTCTATGTCTATTTTGCTGAGGGTTTTTTTTTTTATCATGAAGGGGTGTTAGGTTTTATCAAATGCTTTTTCTGCATCTATTGAAACAATTATATAATTTGTGTTTTTAATTCTGTTTATGTGTTGGATTATGTTTATTGACTGTCATATGTAGAACCATCCTCGCATCCCTGGGATAGAAGATTGCCTTCTTGCATTCAGTTTGCTAGTATTTTGTTGAGGATTTTTGAATCTATGTTCATTAGGGATACTGACCTATAGTTTTCTTTTTTTGTTAGGTCCTTTCCTGGCTATGGTATTGGAGTGATACTGGCTTCAGAAAATGAGTTAGGGAAGAATTCTCTCCTTTTCAATTGTATGGAATAACATCAGTAAAATTTTTACCAGTTCTTCTGTGAACATCTGGGTAGAATTAGGCTGTGAGTCTGTCAGGTCCTGGACCTTGTTTTGTTGGGAAACTTTTAATTACTGATTCGATCTCACTACTTGTTATTGATCTGTTCAGAATTTATATTTCTTCCTGATTCAAGGTTGGGAATTCCTGTTTCCAAGAACTTATCCATTTCCTCTGGATTGTCTAGTTTGTTTGAATAGAGGTGTTCATAATAATCTCAGATGATCTTTTGTATTTCCATGTTGTCACTTGTAATGTCTCCATTTTCATTTCTGATTGAGCTAATTTGAATCTTTGTTTTCTTAGTCTAGCTAGTGATCTGTCAATTTTGTTTCTCTCTTCAAAGAACCACCTTTTGTTTCATTGATTCTTGGGTTTTTGTGTTTGTTTCAGTTTTGTTTAGTTCTACTCTGATCTTTGCCATTATTTTCTGTTGCTAGCTTTGGATTTGGTTTGTTAGTATTTTTCTACTTCTTGTAGGTGTGGCATTAGGTTGTCAAATGTGATCTTTTAGTCTTTTGAATGTAGTCCTTAAGCGCTAGAAATTTTCCTCTGAGCACAGCTTTGGCTGTGTCCCAGATGTTTTGATAATTTGTGTCATTGTGGTTATTCATTTCCATAAATTTTTAAATTTCTGTCTTAGACTTCATTGTTGACCCCAAAATCATTCAGAAGCAGATTGTTTAATTTCCATGTATTTGGTTTTGAGAATTCTTCTTGGAGTTAATTCTAGTCTTATTCCACTGTGGTCTGAGAAAGTGCTTGATATGATTTCAAGTTTTGAATTTATCGAGACTTGATTTGTGGCCTATCATATGTTCTATCTTGGAGAATGTTCCAAATGTGCTGATGAGAAATATGTATATTCTGTAGTTTTGGGGTATAATGTTCTATAGATGTCTTTTAGATCCATCCGCTCTAGGGTCCGACAACTCCTTTGTTTCTTTGTTGACTTTTTGCCTCCATGATCTGTCTGTTGCTGTCAGTGGTGTGTTAAAATCTCCTACTATTATTGTATTGCTCTCTATCCCTTTTCTTAGGTCTAGTAGAATGTGTTTTATAAAACTTAGAGCTCTGTTATTGGCACATATATGTTTAAAATTGTATCTTCTTGTTGGATATTGATCACTTTATCATTATATAATAACCATCTTTGTCTTTTTTCACTGTTGTTAATTTATATTTTTACTTTTTTGAGTCGGAATCTCACTCTATCTCCCAGACTGGAGTGCAGTGGCATGCTCACGGCCACCACAACCCTGACCTGCCAGGCTCAAGTGATCCTTCCACGTCAGCCTACCAACTAACCGGAACTATAGTTACACACCACCATGGCTAATTTTTTTTATTTATTGTAGAGATGAGGTCTCACCAAATTGCCCAGGCTGGTCTCGAACCCCTGGGTTCAGGCAATCCTTTCACTTCCGTCTCCCAAAGTGCTAGGATTATGGTGTGAGCCACTGTTTCTGGCCACTGTTATTAATTTAAAGTCTTTTGTCTAGTATGAGAATGACTACTCCTGCTCATTTTTGGTTTCTATTTGCGTGAAATATTTTTCTTATCCCTTTCTCTATTTTGGTTCACTTCATGGGAGAAAGTCACTCTAGCTGCTTTTTATCAGACTTCTTAATCCTATCTCACTCTCACTACAGTTTCTATCATATTTTTTATGCTTCAGATTCATTAAGGTTCTTTGTTTGTAGCTTTCTATCTTTTCTCAGATTTGGGACATATTCAACCATAATTTCTGCAAATGTTTTTCTGCATCAATATTTTTCTCTTCTCATTTTGAGACTCTGGTGAAACAAATGTCAGACATTTTTATCTTGTTGCAGAGATCTGAGACTATTCATTTTTTCAACTTTTTTCCCTTGTGATTCTTCAGATTAATAATAATTCCACTGATCTATTTGTAAGTTAACTGACTCTTCTGTTATCTCCATTATACTATTAGGCCCATCCAGTGAATTTTTTATTTGGTATATTACATTTTTAATTTCTAAAATTTTCGTTTTCTTATAGTTTACATTTTCTGTGAACTTCTGTGTTTCCATTCCAGACTGCTTGCTTTTTTTTCTTATGGAACATGTTTGTAACAGCTGCATTGAAGTGTTTGATGATTCCTACTTGTGCGGCACCTTAGGGTTGGCATCTACTGATTGTCTTTTCCTTTGACTTTGATCTGGTTGTCTTGGCTCTTTGTATATTGAGTATCATCAAATTGTATTCTGGATATTCTGAATATTATATTGTGAGATTCTGTTTTTGTTAAAATTCTCTAGAGAATGTTGATTTTTGTTGTTATTTGTTTTAGCAGGAGGTCAACAACTCCTTTAGGTTCATACTTCAAATTGTGTTCCACCATTTGTGAGTGATGGTTGCAACGTTCTTCATATGCTCAAATTGGGGTGAGCCTAGAGCTTGTACTGGGCCATAAAAACATCTCTCTTTATTTTCAGGATTTCCCTTACACTTATAGGTTTCTAGGGCTTGTTTTCTCTGTTTCTATGGCTAGATAGAAAGTTACTCTTGGAGTAACTTCTGAGAAGTAACATGGGACTGGCCCAATTTGGGAACAAAATAGCAATAGAAATAAGGTAGGAAAAAGATGGAGATTTTCTTCACACAGTCTTTGCACCACAGGGTCCCGTTTCTCAGCTCCTCTGGCTGCAGGGACAGGTTTTCTCTCAGGGTTTTTGATGACTACACTGCTGTTGACTTTGCCACATGCAGCTTCAAAATCAGAGCTGGCTTCAGGGCAGGAACAGAAGAGAAAAAGAAGAAAAGCAATGGTGATTCCTCTTCCTCTCTAGCTTAATGGGTGTCTCTTCCTGGTTCTCTTCCTGGTTCTTGAAAGAGATCTCTCCAGAGTTTTTGATGTCTACATCTGACACAGTTCACACTCAGGTTAACAACAAGAGATAGAGATGAGAAAAAACCCAAGAAACCCTCTGTGATTCTGTTTTTTTTTCCCAAGTTTTACTTCTCTTCTGTTGCTATTCCCTGTTGTTTTGTACCTTATCCAGAATTTCTCATTGTAATCTGTAGGAGAGAAACTGTGGTGGGCCTGTTCCATCTTGGCTACCACCAGATGTGCCAAAAGTGATGTTTATACTTAAAGAGCTAAGAAACTTCAGCTCTTATAGAAATTTACTTATATAAGTAAACTAATTTCTCAGTGTTTTTCTTAAGCTTTCTCCTGGTAAATAAAGATATTTTAAAAATTGGGGTAAATAATTTCACAAATTTTAATAAATGTTTTTTGATTTCTAGTGCTTTAAGACAGAAGACAAATGAGAAACCACTTAGACTGGCTGAGAAGAAAGAATATGATGAGAAGAATGACTGTTTGAAGTAAACATTTTTTTTTCTTGGCCTGAACTACTTATTGAAATAGTTGTAATAAAATTATAAGCAAGAGGAATTTACATATTTTTTATTAATTTTAAATCTGCATTCACATTAAAAATATGTTCAATAAGTCCTTTCAGCTTTGAGGGTAGTTTTGTCTTTTCTATTCACTGGGGTAGACTTTTCTGTTTAAAGCTTTCTTCCAGGGTTAGTAGTCTTTACCTCCTTTTCCTAATTCTCTTGGTAACATGAACAGTTTTACAAAGTAACTTAGATATAGTTGATCTTTTGGGCTGTTGGTTTTCTGTGGGATAGTGTTTGCCGTCTTCCAAGTTTTCTGATGTTAAGTAAGTCCATTACATGTTAGAGAAACTATTCACAGAGTATTAACTTCATTTTATACTTGTTTACTCTACAAAACATTTTCATGCCAGTTTTTATGATACTTTTTACCATGCCAGATTAAACCATTTTATATTCCAAATAACTATGGTTGCTGTGAAACTACCAGGGTGACAGAGTTTAGGACAGTTCAGAGGTGGACAGCTTCGGCGGTATCTACCACTTGGGCTGGGGGTTGGAGGGAGGGCATCGATTGTGTGGCTCTGTGGACTGCCCGGCTTCCCAGAGGCTACAGGGATGGCCTGCAAGGGCCTCTTATCCGACAGGAGCGCCTCACAGCATTGAAGGCTGCCATGGAGCCTGCGGAGCTGGGGATGGCTGTTGGGCACCTATTGACATCCTCCCAAGGAGACCCTCCATCCTGATACCTGAAGGCTCCGTTGTTACAGTGGAACAAAGGCCTTACATTATCCATGCCACTCATGTCTTTCTTTTCTTATTTTTGAGTATGGCCTGGTAAATTAACCCTGCAGTGTCGATTCTCTTTTATTTTTGTATTAGTTCTGTCTCATTTCCTGTTCTGTCCCTACCTTTTACTTAGAACCTATTGATTAAATTACATCCGTTATTCTGTCAGTCTGTGGCAGGTTCCAGGGAACCTTGAAGTAGTTCAAGATTTAATAGCAGAGAAAAAATGCGACATTGGGTTTTTTAGAAACACGAGGATGACCTAGTGATCATGCAGTCTTCCCCGACCAGATCAAAGGATTGACTGTGCTGTGTCCAAAGTCTAGGGAACCATGTTTCCTCAAGGATGATAAGTCAGGGATTTGCAAGTATCATATTCCCATAACTTAATGTGTGATGATAATAGTTATATTAATGCTAGGGAAGGGTGCCAGGCATAGTGGCTCATGCCTGTAATCCTAGCATTTTGGGAGGCCAAGGCAGAAGGATTACTTGAGCCCAAGAGTTAGAGACTAGCCTAGGCAACAAAGTGAGACCTCATCTCTACAAAAAATTAACTGAGTATGGTAGCAGTGTGCCTGTAGTCCCAGCTACTTGGGAGACTAGGCAGGAGGATCACCTGAGCCCAGGCGGTTGAGGCTGTGATTGTGCCATTGCATTCCAGCCTGGTCAACAGAGTGAGACTCTGACTTAAATGATAATAATAGTAACAATGTGAAAATCAAATCCTGCCTTACCTTTAAGGATCACCTTAAAGTCCAGGTATCCGCTTGCCCTCCTCTGTTTGAAACCTGTGGTTTTCTTTTCCTGTCTGTTTCTCACACTGATGGCATTGCTCAAGCCCATAATCCCCAGCAAGCAGTTCTGTTTCTTTTTATTCAGACCTGTTCCTTCACATAAATAATTTGGAAATCCCCAAATTGCAGTAACTTCAGGAAGAGGTCACCCTGATTAGGAGTCTTCTTCCCCTGGGTTGCGCATTCCTGCCTCCTCTGGATTCCTGGGTTCTTAGGTGGTAGAGTGAGTATCGGGGTCTGCAGCCAGAGCCCAAGGGCCCACAGAACAGAGTTTTTAAAGTGATGTTTGGGAATCCAAGGGAAGCCGCTCTTTTTCACTTAGCACTTCTGGAGATGATCAGGCGGCTTAGATAAGGGCTGAGATAACACTTCTAACCTGGCTCTCAGATGCATGCTGGGAATGGCAGATGAGTCTCAACATTGGTTGGTTGGTAGCAACTCCCTGCATCATTATTTTGAAGAGGACTTTGTTTTTTTGAATTGGAGTCTCACTCCTTCGCCCAGACTGGAGTGCAGTGGCACGCTCCCGGCCACCGCAGCCTCGACCTGCTGGGCTCCGGCGATCCTTCCGCCTCAGCCTTCCGAGTAGCTGGAACTACAGGCGTGCACTACCACGCCCGGCTAATTTTTGATTTATTGTAGAGATGAGGTCTCGTCAAGTTGCCCAGGCGGGTCTTGAACCCATGGGCTCAGGCAATCCTCTCACCTCGGCCTCCCTGAGTTCCGGGATTACAGGCTTGAGCCACCACGCCCAGTCGTGAAGAGGACTTTAACACTGCAGCCAGACATGCTGGGCGTGTACTTTGATGACTGATTAGGATGTCGTGGGTGAGGAGAGGAGTGTGGCCTGCTTACCACTTGCTTGTCATTTCTGAGATTCAGTGTAACCTTGGTGCTTTCTTTGCCTTCCCTGGATCCTCCATACCTACCATGACATGCATTCCTTATTCTTTAGCTGTCTGCCATTAAACATTGTAACATTTGCCTACTTTGTACTTGCCATTTATTTAAGATGAACATTTCTCTGAATTATATGTATTCTTATTTTATTTTTTACTTATTTATTTTTTTTGAATTGGAGTCTCACTCTGTCGCCCAGACTGGAGTGCAGTGGCCGCTCCCGACCACCACAGCCTCGACCTGCTGGGCTCCAGCGATCCTTCCATCTCAGCCTTCCCAGTAGCCGGAATTATAGGCGTGCACTACCACGCCCGGCTGATTTTTTGATTTATTGTAGAGATGAGGTCTCGCTGCCCAGGCGGGTCTTGAACCCACGGGCTCAGGCAGTCCACTCACCTCAGCCTCCCAAAGGCGCGGGATTACAGGCTGAGTCACCGAGCCCGGCTATGTATTCTTTATAATATTGTTTCAGCATCAGAGTTTGAATGCAGGTACTTTTTTAAAACTTTATTTTGTTGTAAAAATGTGGGTTACAAATCAGGATTAGGTACATAAGGAATGTATGTGCAGGTGCTGTCTGGTCCTCCAACTGGTCCTCACTTCCTCTGGTTTAGGATCAGGTTTCCTTTGTGTTGTCACATTTTTAATTTGCAAGAATTTTCCTTTTCTTTTTTTTTCTAGTGTACTGTCTTTGTTTCATGTATGTGATGCTTCTCTCATTTCTCTAAGGATAGTAATTATGGGTGGAATTTTTCTTCTCCCTACATTGTTTCTGTTTCTTCCAAGTTGCGTTACCGTCTTTTTATTTTTTGTCTCTCTAAGGTTAGAGGCTTGTCCTTGATTATCTGTTTTTATTTCCAGGTAGGGGCCTAACGTCCTAACCAGGGTGTCTGAGTACACACTGAGTCTCACTGAGGAGTGAGCTGCTGTTGTGGGAGGGGCCTGTAAAATCAGTCTTTAGTCTCCTCTCGGGTGGGTCGGGTTCCCCAAGGAAAGATACCTCCTGCCTCTTGCTCCCGGAGTGAAGACCTCTCAGTGTCCTGTGTGCTGAGTGGCAGACAGAGGCTGGGCCTCTTTGTTTCATGAGTGCTTAATTGTGCTCTTTTCAGTCAGTACCTCCATTCTCAACTGTGCCTCTAGTGCCCTCGTCCTGATGCCACCCACACAGTGGGTCAGCTCAGCTACTTGGTGGGTGTTAACCCAATGACCACAACCCAGGAGGATATTTATCAAGGAGATTTTGTCACCTGCAACAAATAAGGAGACCATTGGGGTTAGTTCCCGAAGCAGTGTCCCCAAAACAAAGCTGAAAGCAGGGCTTTTCTTGTGCTGGTTACTGAGTCACTGCATGTAAAGATGGGCTAAAGGCAGCATGGGTGTGCAGTGGTGGTTATGCTGCTTTACACATTGCAGATACAGAAATTGGCTCATAAGCTCCTGCCTAGGCGGGGCTTTTAGTATGGCACTTCATCACCAAAGTTCATCTCTATCTAAAACATCTCTAGTTCCAACCAGGTTTTGTTTTGCTATAGCTGGGTTTCTTCCTGGAGCCCTTTGAAACAACAGAAATTCAAGGCTCAGCAGTTACATGTGGTTACCAGTTACCCTTTATAGTATGCCCCTGAAAACCCGGGACCGTGGGTTATGCTGAGAGTTCTGTTGTATCCTCTTCAGAAATCAACCCCTGGTCTTCCCAAAATGGGGGTGGGTAGTTGTCTGGTCTTGAGAAGTGTAAGGTGATCCAGAAATCTCCCCCCCCCCCCTTTTAACCCCCTGCCAGAGCCAGAAGAGCCTGGTCTTAATTTCTAAGCTTTCTGAAGATTGCTTTGCCAAGTCCACTACAACTTTGTCCCTCTGTTTTCTAGCTTCTGAAGTTTTCTTTGGAAACATTGTCTCCTTTATGGTTCTCTTCTTCATTGTGACTTTAAAAATAGCTGTATTGAGGTATAATTCATATCCCATAAAATTGTAAAGTGTATAATTCAGTGGTTTTTAGTACATTCACAGAGTTTGCAGCCATCACCACTATCTAATTTCAGAACATTTTCATTTCTCTCCAAAAATGCATCTTCATTAGCAATCACTCTCCCTTTCCCCCCTTCCCATCCTTTGGCAACAAGTAATTTTTCTGTCTCTCTGCATTTGCCTATTCTGGATATTATATATGAATAAAATAATAAAATATGTGGGCCTTTGTATCTGGTTGCTTTCACTTAGCAAGTTTACAAAATTCATTTCTTTTGTAGCATAAATGAGTGCTACATTCTTTTTATGGCTGCATAATATTCCACTGCATGGATCTAGCACATTTTATTTACTCATTCATCAGTTGATGCCATTTAAATTTTGTAGCTTTTGCATTTGAAAGTCCATTACTAGGAATGGGGTTTCGGGAAAGAGTACAGTTGTTGTGTGCGTTTAATTCACCCTCTTTATCCTGAAGTACACACCACCTCTATGCTTTGTGCGTTCTTTGCTGCTGTCACTGTCCTTATCCGTAGTGAGGTTGGGGCTGGCTCTGGAGGAGAACACTTTCAAATTTATCTTTCTCTCAGTTAGCAGAGGTGGTAGTAAACAAATCCTGTCTCATCTCATCTTCTCATCTGTAAAATAAAAATTATGCGGTAGAGTAGTCACTCCTGAGCTTGTCTGGGCCCCTCTACTTTCTTACAGCCCCTGGGTGGCAGGATCGTTGCAGTGCAGGTCCAAGCCTGGGCCTAGGGCTGGGAAGACCTTGCATCTTCATAAATCAAGCAGAACGGAATGGCAGCCATTGGATAGCTGTGCCTTGTGATATGTAGTCCGCTTTTCTCTACCAAGGAACAATTAAAGTAATGGCTCAGTTGGGGAAATAAACACTTTTTCCTTCAAATTGTTCTTTTAACTATTTTACAGATTATTGCAATTTTTAAATCCTGATCCTTTGAGAGGGGATGGAATCTCTGATCTGCAGCAGGTATTATTATCCCTTAAAAAATTTAAAGAGAGAGAGAGAGAAAACAAAAAACCTGTTAACTCTTTAAATCCTTCTCCTTCCTCTCTCCAGACTTGAGATTAGAAGAGAAACTCCTTAGATGGAGGACTTTATGAAGACTTCCTTTTACAAATTATCTAGTAGATTATTGCTTCAGAGAAATTGCTCTTTTGTAATTTGGGTAATGGTCTTTCATTTTAGTAGTTTGGGTGTTTTTTTTATTAGTGTATTTTCCCAGGTTTTTACATTGGAATTACATTTTCCTCGTTTCCATAAAGCTGGTGATAGTCTGTGCTGATTCCACAGGGCAGACACTTGTTGTCTAACGCATGTGCTAACTTAGTTGCAGAAGCTGAAGTTGGGAATGTTGCAGCCTGTTGCAGTGCTCCGAAACAGGATCGAGCCCTGCTTGACCATGGACACGTCACCACTTTCAGCAGATCTGAGAAGGGTAAAAGTGCTCTTGAAACTGATCTCGTGGAAAAATGCCGACCTTCCCTCACATCGAAGGACTGTTTAATAAGCAATTCTAAAGTTGCTTTGTATGATTTCTTGGCTTTTGAAATGCTCTTTTAAACTTTTGTTGTTAATTTCTCATTTATCCATAAGTCCAGGCTAACTTCCTTTAAAAAAATTTTTTTTTTTTTGTTGAAGATGTGGAGTCTCCCCTGGCAGTTTCCCACTACTGCCAATCCCTTTCTTAATTTGATAATTGTTTAGGGTCCACTTATGAGTGAGAACCTATGGCACTCTACTTTGTTTCTGTGATAGATCGCTGAGTATGATAGACTCTAAATCCATCTAAGTTGTTGCAAAGTCCATATGTTTGTCCTTCTTTGTGGATGCATAATATTCCCTTGTGTATATGTACCACATTTTTTTAATCCAGTCCAGTTTTGGTGGACAGCACAGTTGGTTCCATGTTTTTGCTATTGTGAATAGTGCTGCAATAAACATGCATGTGCAGATATCTTTTTGGTAGAATGATTTGAGTTCCTCTGGGTATATTCCCAATAGGGAGATTGCTGGGTCATATGGAAGGTCAATTTCTAGTTCTTTCAGAAATTGCCACACTGTTTTCCAAAGAGGCTACACTAGTTTGCATTCCCACCAGCCGTGTAGAAGCATTCCTTTTTCTCTGCATCCTCACCAGCATCTGTTGTTTTATTAATGATGGCCATACTTACTAGGTTTAGGTGGTATCTCAATGTGGTTTTGATTTGCACTTCTCTGATAATTAGTGAGGCTGAGCACTTTTTCATGTGTCTGTTGGCTGCTCATATCTCTTCTACTGAGAAGTGTCTATTCATGTCTTCTGCCCACTTTTTAATGGGGCTGTCTGGTTTTTTTCCTTTTGGCATGTTTGAGTTCCTTGTAGATCCTGAATGCCAGGCTTCTGTCAGATACACATGGGCAGATATTTTTTTCCTGTTCTGTGTGAGCTGTCTCCCCACTCTCTTGATGGTTTCTTTTGCGTTGCAGAAGCTTTTCAGTTTAATGAGATCCCACTTACCTATCTTATCTCTAGTGGCATGAACACTAGAGGTTCATACTAGGTTTTGATCAGGAATTGGCTGCCAGTTCCAATTTCTATAAGGATTTCTCCTGGTTTTCTAAGGTTCTCATAGTTTGAGGTTTTACGTTTAGGTATTTGATCCATTTAGAGTTGATTTTTGTGTTTGGTGATAGGAAGGGATCCTCTCAGAACTGGAAATGACAATACAGAAATTCATATGGAAACATAAATGACCACAGATAGACAAAACAGTCCTTAGCAGAAGAAACAAAACAGGAGGTATCACACTTCCAGACTTCAAACTTTACTGTAAGTCTACAATAATCAAAACAGCCTGGTATTGGCACAAGAACAGGCATACAGACAAATGGAACAGGATAGAGATTCCAGAAACAAGACCTCAATTTCTCAATCAACTCGTCTTTGACAAAGCCTCCAACAACCACCACTGGGGAGAGGAGAACCTTGTCAGTAAACTGTGCTGGGAAAACTGGCTCATCACGTGTAGACGATTGAGTCCAGGCTAACTTCTTATAAATGAATAATTCTTTTGTGGAGAAGCCAATCTGTAAATCCTCTTCTGAAATGAGTTCTCAAATATGCCTCTGGAAAGGGGTTAGAAGAAGCAATAAGTTGCCAGGGCAATTGCAATGTGCTTCCTATTCCTTCTTTCAAAATTACTTTATAGACCTGTGGCTTCACTTGGCAAATCAATCATACATGTTTACCTGCTTTCTTTTTCCTGATTAAAAATGTTTAAAGATATGTTTTAAAAGGTAGAAAGATAAAACCACTACAGTGAATAGAAGGAGAGAGAAGTGGAAAGAGCCTCCATATTCTACAGTTCCACAGAACTGTAGAAGATGGAAGTTGAGTGGCAGAGCATGGCTAACTTGGCAAAAGAAGGAGTGCGGTATCAGTGGGTAACCTCCCAGTCTGCTTCCTGAACACCCACGGCCAGCATGTTCTCAGGAAGGAGACTGGTGACTCTTTTTTTTTTTCTTTAAAAAATCGAATGGCTTTAGAGAAATGACCGTTAGATGATACTGTGTGAAATTCTCCCACTCACAGAGCCTGCCTGCCATCTTGTCTTCCTACAGTGGTGTGCACTCACTTGGTGACAAGATTGCCCCCCCCCCCACACACAGAGCTTCTAGTTAGCTTTCAGTGTCTTCCTCTTCAGTATGAAAGACTTCAGAGATCATGGACCTTTTTTTAAAGCTTTCACATAAAAAAGATGAAGAAGAAGAAGAAGACCAAAGGGTGGCTCACATCTGTAATCCCCGCTCCTTGGGAGGCCAAGGTGGGAGGATTGCTTAAGCCCAGGAGTTTGAGACCAGCATACATAGTGAGACCTTGTCTCGACAGAATTCACATACACACACATTTGTGTGTATCTATTTGTGTGTGTGTGTGTGTGTGTGTGTGTATGGGTGGCTCACGGCCGCCCCAACTTCGACCCACTGGTCTCAGGCTATCAGCCTTCCAGGTAGCTGGAAATACAGGTGCACGCTACCATGCCCAGCTAATTTTTTGATTTGTTGTAGTGATGAAGTCTTGCCAAGTTGCCCAGGCTGTTCTTGAATCCACGGGCTCAGGCAGTCCACTCAACTCAGCCTCCCAAAGTGCTGGGATTATAGGCTGAGCCACCACGCCTGGCCATGTATATTTTTAAGTTAACAGGGCATGGTGGTGCGTGCATGTAGTCCCAGCTACTCAGGATGCTGTGGCAGGAAGATCGCCTGAGCTAGGGATATCAAGGTTGCAGTGAGCCATGGTCATACCACTGCACTGCAGCCTGGGTGACAGAGTGGGATACCAATTCAAGAAACAAAAAAAGACCTAAATAGGGCTAGGCACAGTGGCTCACAACTGTAATCCCAGTACTTTGAGAGACCAAGGCTAGAGATCACTTGAGATCAGGAGTTGGAGATCAGCCTGGGCAATATAGTGAGACCCATCTTTACAGAAAAAAAAAATTGGGCATGGTGGTGGTAACCTGTAGGCCTAGATACCTGAGACACAGAGGCTGGAGGATCTCTTGAGCCCAGGAGTTTGAGTTTACCATGAACTATAGTCATACCACTGCACTCCAGCCTGAGCAACAGAGCAAGACTGTGTCTCACAAAAAAAAAAAAAAGACAAAACAGACTGAAGGAAACAAACAGTGCCATGAGTAGGAGAACATGTTAGAAAATAAATATCCTCAGAGAGAAGATCCTCAGAGAGAAGATATGGCATCCATTTAACAATAACAGTGTTGTTGTTTTTTTAAAAGAACAGTCATAAAAAATATTCTCAGAAATGCAAAATATTATAGAAAATTTTGAAAGCCAGTAGTAGCTTTGAGATATAAAAATAGAAACTATCAGAAAGTAGAACAAAAAGGCAAAGAGATGAAAATAGGAGAAAAAATGTGATGGTCAATTTGAGCCTCATCTGAAAATGGTGTTTCTAGAAAGAATGAAGGAAGAGGGGAGAAAATTCTCTGGGGACTATTAACATAGGTAGAGTCTCTGGACCAAATGGACATGAATCTCCAAGTCAAGAGAGTCTACCCACCACAGGCCCAATACAACTGATGAACAGAGCTGTTGGATGTGTCGTGATGAAGCATCTAAACTTGAGAGAGTCAGAGATCATGAAAGCTTCTAGAGAGAAGAAAGGGTCCTGCACCCCGGTCCAGGAACCAGAATGGCTTCAGACTTCTCCACTGTGAACCAGAGGAGTGCTGACTTTGAAATTCTGATGAAAATTTTCAACCTGCAGGTCCATACTCAAACTGTCAACGAAGTGTGAGGGTGGAATGAAGAGCTCTTCAGACATGCAGTCTCAAAAAATATTTACTTCCCCTGTACCCTTTGTCAAGAAGCTATTGAAATATGTTCCTTACCAAAACAAAGAAGTAAACCGTGGGAAAGATAACCACATGGATTGCAGATGCAAAGGTGATGGTGAAACATGGCAGCTGTGGACCAGGCACAGTTGCTCCCACCTGTACTCCTAGCACTTTGGGAGGCCAAGGTGAGAGGATTGCTTGAGACCAGTAGTTCAAAGACCAACCTGGGCAACATAGTGAGACTGCATCTCTACAAAAATGAAAACATTAGGTGTGGTGGCACCCACCTGTAGTCCCAGCTACTCAAGAGGCTGAAGTCGAAGGATGGCTTGAGCCTAGAAGTTTGAGGCTGCAGTGAGCCATGATTGTGCCACTGCACTCCAGCCTGGGCAACAGAGTAAGATTCCAACTCAAAAAAAAAAAAAAAGAAAGGTGACAGCTGAATATTAGGTGCAGAGACTAGTCAGTTCCCATTGCAACTGGGCTTCAGGACTCTGGGAAGAGGACTTTACAGAAACAGTGGTGCTGGTTTGGGAGATGGTCTGTGTGGCTGGAGAATTCTGTTGAATCATTTGGGTTTAAGTGACAGTTACATAGAAAAAAAAATTTTTTTTAAAGCTTCACTTGTAAGTGAGACTGAAGGATTGTCAGATTATTGGGAAAATAAGGGAAAAAGCCACATCTTTGTTTAGTGAGCTTCAGACACCTAGACAATGGACCATCTCCTGGACTCTTCTAATTTGGGGCCCAGAAAAGCAAAAGTCTTTTAATAGGAGTTTGGTAATGACACAGGATTCAGGGGAACATGCCAAATTAGGTCTTGGAAGTACCAGGTTAAGTAATGTGTAGTGTGATGGAGTAACATGAGCAGTGAGGTGGGGCTTTTGTCAGTTTTCTCTGTTTCATTGTAGTTCTTGGTTGTTGCTGTTTTGTAGGCTCTTCAGAGAAATAAGTTCCCAGGACCGAGCCACACTGAATCGTACTCCTGGCCTCCCATAGCACGGGGCTGCGATGTAGTTGTCATTTCTCACTGTGGCAATGACCCTCTAGTGTACCTTCCACCGGTGCTTACAATTTTGCAAACAGGGGGCTGTTACAAGTCATTACCAAGCAGAAATGGAGTAAGTTGAAGACAAATTTGTTTTACAACAAAATGAGTTAAATGTTTATTTTATTTTGTTTTGGATTCAGGGTGCATGTGCAGGTTTGTGACATGAATGTATTGCATGATGGGGATTGGGCTTCTAGTGATCCACTCCCCAAAGGCAGAACATTGTGCCCAACTGGTACTCTTCCAACTCCTCCCTTTGGGAGCCTCTGGTGTCTATTGAAAGCTGTACTTTTAAATTGTGCACCTAACCTTCAGTAAAGGTCAGCTTCCATTACTCGGGTTGCTTTTCAAGCTGCTAGAGTAGAAACTGTCCTATGAGAATGTATCTTTTCTCTTCTCCCAGTTAACAGTTCTCTCACCTTGAGTTCCCAGTTGTGGGCCATTGGCTAAGACTTTTAAATGAGTAAATAGTTTATAAAATAATTTCATTGACCTTTATTACTTTATTACTTTATTACAGCAACCATATGAGATGGTCAGATCATGTATTGTTTTTACCTTTTTCACCTTTTTTTCTTTTTTGAGTCAGAATCTCATCCTGTCGCCCAAGCTAGAGTACAGTGGCACGCTCATGGCTACTGCAGCCTCTACCTGCTGGGCTCAGGCGATCCTTCTGCTTTCCAAGTAGTTGGAACCACAGGGGCACACCATGCCCAGCTAAATTTTTCATTTATTATAGAGATAGGGTCTCACCAAGTTGCCGGGCTGGCTTCAAACCCCTGGGCTCAGGCAGTTCTCTCACTTCTGCCTCCCAAAGTGCTGGGATTACAGGTGTGAGCCACTGAGCCTGGCCTGTTTTTACCATTTTATGGATGAGAAAATTAAGCTCATGAAAAGGTATTGGGATAAATTCTTACCCTCTGACAAGTAGTGAAAGTGGAATTCGAATCTAAGCTTCTAGCTGGGCACAGTGTATAATGCCAGCATTTTGTATTGCCTGAACTCAGGAGTGCGAGACCAACCTGGGCAGCTTGGTGAGACCTTGTCTCGACAAATCAAAAAATTAGCCAGGTACAGTAGCACACGCCTGTAGTTCCGGTTACTTGGAAGACTGAGGCGGAAGGATTACCAGAGCCCAGCAGATAGACGCTGGGGTGGCCGTGAGCATGCCGCTGGACTCCAACCCGGGCAACAAAGTGAGACTCCAACTCAAAAAAAAAAAAAAAAAAAAAAAAGAATTTAAGTTTCTGTTGCCTTGTCCCATGTTTAATTATTTCATGGCACCTCACACTTTTATAATCTCTCTTATCTCTTCCCATGTGTAAGAATCTGAAAAAGAGTTGAGAAAGATGATGGGAAGGAGAGAAAATGGGCGGTGAGGATCAAACGGTAGAGGTTGTGGCATCTGCTTTGCTGCGTTTTGGCTGTTAGATGTCTGATGGATACATACAACCTCCACCTCAGGTCCTGGCTCCAAGGATGCACTACAAATGGTCCCACCACTTGACATACGGGACAAATAGCAGTAAGAAAACATTCTTAGAGTAGCAGTTAGGAAAGACACCAGTTTATTTTTCTAACTATGCTGTGAAGTTTAATGATTTCTCTTTAGAAATTTGCATTTGGCCAGGCATGGTAGCTCGCACCAGTAATCTCAGCTACCGGGTAGGCTGAGGCGATGGATTGTTTGAGCCCAGGAGTTTGAGACCAGCCTGGACAACATAGGAAGACCCCATCTCTAGAAAAAAATTTTTTAAGTTGCCTGGCATGATGTTACATACCTGTAATTTTTGCTGCTGGGGAGACTGAAGTGCGAGGATTGCTTGAACCTCCAGGAGTTTGGGGTTGCAGTGAGCTGTGATTATATCACTGCGCTCCAGCCTGGGCAACAGAGTGTGACCCCTATTTCTATAAAATAATAACATAAAGAAATTTACATTGGTTATTATGTATTGCTTTAGTCAAATTAAATGAATACATTTATATTTCCCAAATCAGTTAGCAGCTACCCCTGCTGATGAGATGCAGCTTCTGTTAAGGCAGATCCCTGGCTGGGAGCAGAAGGGAAGTCCTCCTGCTTTCTCCCTGGCTCCACAGCCACCTTGCTTTCGGGCCTGTGCCTGGAAACTGGTGCTCATCTGGTTCTGCATCAAGCAAAGAGGAGACTCCATGTGCCTTCGGGCGGTGGAAGGCGTGTGTCCAGAAGGGGATTGGGTGGGCAGTGCCCCTTCAGGTGTTGTCTGTGAGCCAGTGGGGAGCAGGGCTAGAAAGCAGTCTCCTAAGGAAGAGACAGTGGCTTTTTTCATTGTCATTTTAAAAATCTTTTAAGAAGTTTTGTGCAGTGACGAGGTCTCGCTGCGTTTCTCAGGTTGGTTTTGAACTCCTGGGCTCAAGCAATCCTTCTGCCTCAGCCTCTGCTAGGATTATAGACGTGAGCCACCACTCCTGACATTTTTTAGAAGGTCCCTTTCAGGAGGCATTTTGTTCATCTTTGTGCTTAGGAGCGGGGGATCTGGAGCCAGTGTGCATGGGTTTAAGTCCTGTTGCTCCTGTATATTCACTGTGCAACCTTGGGTTACTGACTTTACCTCTCTGTGCCTTGGACTGCTCATCTTTGAAATGAAGCTCTCCCATGAGAGTGTTTGAAGAACTAACTGAATTAATACTTGTGAAGTACATAGTTTAAGCTCTAGGAAAATCTGACTCAATGTGTCTCAATCTATTTTAATGAGATTTTATTTTAAATTTTCTGACCTGTGTGATGATGATGATAGCAAAACTTATGTGGTACTTATTCTATGCAAGGAGATGTTCTGGGTGTTTCATGTATATGTGTTTAATTCCTAATGATTATCCAGTGTTTTTTGAATTTGTCTTTGCAGCCTCTTGCCATTATTGTGTGCCCTGGGTGGAAAAAGGCCCAATTTATTTTTGAATTACTAGCAGACTATGGCATGTCCTCCAAGCCTCTTCATCCTGTGTTATTAACAATTGGACTCCACAAAGATGAAGCCAAAAATACGAAGCTTCCAAGAGGCTGTAAGCATTCTTTTCAAGCCGTTTATTTTTCCCTACAGAAGACAGTGGAACCCTGCCCAGGTAGCCCTGGGATCCACAGGTGACATGGCTTGTGGGATGATGCAACTCTTGGTCACTAGTCCAGATCTCATTTGTCAGTTACTGATGGTATTGATTATGAAGGCTTGATCTTGATTACACCTGTCTCACTGAGAAAACTATGTAATTGCATTCATTTATCGACTATTTACTGAGCGCTTAATGTTTGTCAGATGTTGTGCATGCGGTGTTGACTAAAAAAACTCTCCCTACCTTTCGGGAGCAGAAAACCTGGTGGGAACATAGACATGTAATCCGATCATGACGGGTCAGCCTGGGAGGCAGGAGTCATATGTCGCTTCCCTGAGCACAGAAACAGCTTTTTGTCTAATTATTAGAAGGCATTTCTAGGAAGCATGTGGAATCTTAGCAAAGGAAATGTTAGAAAAATCTGGGAAGTAGGGGCGCAAGGGCTCACACTGTAATTTCAGAGACAGAGATAAGAGGATTGCTTGAGCCCAGGAGTTTGAGACCAGCCGAAGCAATAGCGAGACCTTGTCTCTTAAAAAAAAGAAAAAGAAAGACTTGTGGAAAATCTAAAATGTTTGTTTTTTTCTTTTAAAATGCAGGTGATGTGATTGTTACAACACCACATAGCCTCCTAAGACTTCTCACACATCAAAGCTTGCTATTTCTTAGACTCTGTCACCTGATTTTGGACGAGGTGGAAGTATTATTCCTTGAAGCTAATGAACAAGTAAGTGTGGCATCTCTTCAGATGTTATTATTGTCCAGAATGTATGTATAATTTAAGTTTTAATTGCTTAAAGAAATTAGGAAAAGTGTCCAGTTGAGAAATAAGTTGGTTAATCTAAAAAAAAAAAAAATTCCCTTTAACTTCTATAGTTAAGAAGAAAAAATGTTCATCTGACATTTTCTTCCTAGTGTAAAAGTTCTTTTTGAAGAGCAAAATTCTTTTCCAGAGAGATTTTCTAAAATATTTAATATTTTTTTATTATGGCGACAATTTTTATTTTAGAAAATTTGTGACATAGAGCAGAGCACTTGAAAAACTCACCATCCTGGAGTATTTTCTTCTTTTTAAAAGTTAAGCCAGATGTGGTGGTTTGTGTTTGTTGATACATGTATTAATAATATCAAGAATATATTTTATGGACTATTTTGTAACTTGCATTTTGCAGTTAACAGAATTGTGAACACCATTACTTCCTGTTCTACACCATGATTGTTACTGACCATATGGTATTGAAGTGTATGGACGTAACATAGTTTATTTTAAAACTCTTACTTTTGGACATTTAACATAATCAAATTTATGTATGCGTGTGACTAAATAACATGCAACTTTTTTGCACCTGTTTCCCTTAGGAAAAATTCCCTGACTAATGGATCAAAGACTATGAACTCTTGTAGGGCATTTGTTGGAAGCAGTATTACATGATGACTGAGAGCATCACTTGGGAGTGATGATGGCCCCAGGTTCAAGTCCCAGCTTTGTCACTTCTGCCTGTGTGAGGCTGTGCAGTCTCCCTGAACTCTTCTGAAGTCTCAGGATCTTATTTACATATATCTGGGTATACTGCATTGTACGTTTGCCTTTCAGAAAGCATAGACCGCTTTGTACCCCATTGGCGGCGTACCACCAGCCTCCCTGCCTGCACTCCCGCCAGTAGGAGGCTTTGGCCTGGCTCTCTCTTCCGGTCTGACCGGGAGATGGTGGGATCTCGCTTGCTTGTTGTTCTCTTTCCTTGATGACTCGTTCAGTTGAACATTCTTTCGCGTTGAGTATCCATTATTACTGAACATTCATTCACACTGAGTATCCATTATTCTGTGAGTTGCTTGTTCATTTCTTTATTTTCTGTTGGTGGGGTCATCTTTTTCTCATCCGTGTTTAGAAATGTTTATGCAAGCATGTTAACCCCTTGTTGGCTGTTACAAGATGTATTTTTGTATTTTTCAAGATGTTTGTGCTTTAATTTTGTTTTTAGTAGAATTTACAGGATGTTTATTGACTTTAAACTTCACATTTTCTCTTTTTTAGTGTTTTCTTTTTATTTTTGAAAAGGCTTTTCCCGCTCTGAGAACAGAAAATACATAATCCTTTACATTTTATGTTCCATCATTCTAATTCTCTTTTGAAAAAAATGAAATTAATTATACCAATTTTTTAGATGCTTGCTATATTAGATAACTTTAAAAAAAATACTGAAGTTGAAGAAAGGGAATCTGCACCGCATCAGGTTGTTGCAGTTGGTGTTCATTGGACCAAACATATAGAACAATTAATCAAAGAGTTCATGAATGATCCCTACATTGTGATCACAGCCATGGAAGAGGCTGCTCTCTATGGCAATGTCCAACAGGTAATGAATCCAACAGATAATGAGTGTGGGGGGCGGGGGTGCTGAGGAACATAAGGAACTTTTATTTCATGGCATAATGGTAAACAATTAGAATTTCCTATACAAATCTGTAATTGTGTATTTACATTTACATTGATTTCCTGTATTTTCTTCTCTATAAAAATCATAACCTGTGAAAAGTAAAACTGGAATATCTTTAACATTTAAAAAAATTGCATTGTCTGTGTGTCATTACTAGGTAGTGCATCTTTGCCTAGAATGTGAAAAAACCTCTACTTTACTCCAAGCTCTTGATTGCACTCCAAGACAGGCTCAAAAGACCTTGATCTTCACCTGCTCTGTAGCAGAGACAGACATAGTATGTAAGGTGAGCTCATCACATACAAAGATAATGTCCCTGTTTGTTTAAACTGTAGTTGAATCTCAAGTCATCAGAAGAGTACTGGAATAGCTGACTGTGTGGCATAGAAGTACAGTTTTACACGTTTGACATCAGAAGAGGAGGTGGGCTCCACTCACTGAAGGAAGCACTGAGGGCGGGAGGCCTAGCGTTGAGGGCAGAGCAGGGCAGAGGACCAGCTGTTCCACTGATGCGGTGTCCCCAGGGGGATCAGGGCCAGGGAGTTCTGTCTTGGCAGAGCCTGAAAAGGGTCCAGTTCTTACAGAAATGCCAACGTCTTTTGAACCCACTGTGTAGGAAGATTGAGAAAATACAGTAAAGATGTTGTCATTTGGCCAGAAAAGCCAAATAAAATGGCTGAAGATTTATTCAGTTTAATCTAATTTTGTGTATACTAATGCTGAAATGTAGATGTAAAGCCAAATACAAAATAATCAGTAGTACATCTGCCTTTCCACAATAATAAGCTAGAAGGTACTGCTTAAAAGCCCTAGGCTTGGCGCAGTGGTTGATGCTTATTATCCCAGCACTTTGTGAGGCCAAGGTGGGAGGATCACTTTGAGGCTGAAGTTTAAGACCAGCCTGAGCAACAGAGCAAAACTCTGTCTCTACAAAAAATAAAAAATTAGCCAGGTATGGCAATGTACACCTATAGTCCTAGCTTGAGAGTCTGAGGCAGGAGGATTGCTTGAGCCCAGGAATTCAAGATTACAATGAACCATGGTTGTACCACTCCAGTCTGAGCGAGACCCTGTCTCAAAAAAAAAAGCCATGGTTGTACACACACACACACACACACACACACACACACACACACACACACACACACACGTATGTATGTGTTATTTTAAAAGGAAGGAAAATAAGGCTGGGTGTGGTGGCTCACACCTGTAGTCCCAGCTACTCAAGAATCTGAGGTGGAAGGATCACCTGAGCCCAGGAAGTCGAGGCTGTCGTGAGCCTTGATTGTGCCACTGCTCTCCAGCCTGGGCAACAGAGTGAGATCCTGACTCAAAAAAGTAAAAAATAAAATAAATAAAATGAAAGAAAATAGTTTTAGCAAAATGTTGTTTCTTTTACTTCAGCAATTTTGGGCATAACCACCAAATTTGGGGAATATATTTGTTTGCGTTTACACTCATTCTCAATAATCACTGGACCCAGAATTACTGGGTCAGTGATTACTGATGACTTCAACCTTATGTTCCTGATTGTGAACTGGCCTCTTTGGTTTCATCTTTAGGCAGTAGAAAGCAGTTCAATATTTTGCTTGAAAATGCATAAAGAAATGGTTTTTAACTTAAAAAATGTTTTGGAACAATGGAAGAAGAAGTTGAGTTCTGGCTCTCACATTGTATTAGGTAAGCATTTTAATTTTTACTTACATTTAGTGAAGACTGAGCATATAGGAATCATATCTTCAATTCATTTATGTATCTCATCTCCGGATTTTTCATTATTTCCCAGAGTTACTGAGAATTGTTTAGTAATGTTAATTTCAAAATGGAAATCAACCTCTACTAAGCTTTTGGATGTTGAGATGAATCTAGGTGTCCCCAGGACTCTCAAGTCAGTAGGCAGCAGCCCTTGGTCAGCACACTCTCTCTGGAGTTCTAGCTTTAGGATCACTGTCTCATAGATACAGGCATGTATGTATACATATATGCCTATGATCAAACATGGCCGTAAACTGCTGTCAACTTTCATATTAGAAACATAGAAGTCAAAAAGTATCAAGTAAGTGAAAAATACAAGGCAGTCTGGGTTTGTAAAGAAAGAGCTATTTTTGAAGCTAAAAGGGAGACCACTTTTGTCTGGAGTTTAATCACTGGGCTGTGGAATTTTTGAAAAAAAGGGGAAAGATATTTCTTTGCATATAAAAAAGTAAAATGCGATACAGAAATGTACTATGGTGTGGTTATTGGAAGTGCTCATTAAAGTAAGTTGCCGTTAACTCCAGCTCATGTGAACCTGTCGTAATCCTTTTCTTCAGCCTTGACTGACGATTGCGTACCACTCCTGGCCATCACCGATGCCATGTGCGTGATTCACTTCAGCTTCCCTTCCTCACCAAAAATGTTTGGTGGCCGCCTGTATTGCATGTCTGATTATTTTCAGAGTTTAACTGACCAGGTTTGATGAATTTTTATTATCTTAGTATTCCACTGGCATCTTTTATGTAATGATAAATTGGGAGTCCACAAAGTTTCCTCATTCAGACTAGAGTGGTGATTTACTTCCTTTATTCACCCCAATCTTAAGGGTTCTCCTGCAGAACAGGGAGCTAAAAAAACCAAATCTGTCCTGCTGCTGACGGAGAAAAACGCGAGCCATGCGGTTGGTGTCCTGCGCTACCTGGAGCGAGCAGAGGCCAAAGTCCCGGCAGAGCTGTATGAGTTCACATCAGGGGTTCTGGAAGCCAGAGAAGACAAAAAAGCCAGAAGGCCTCTCTGTCCATATCTTAAGGCTTTCGGTTTTTGCAAGTAAGCCAGTGTTCTTTTTTTAAATTTGCACGCTGTGAAGTGCACCGAGATACGTCTGCAGCTTGAAGGATTGTTACGTGTGCATGCAGCTCTGAGGGAGCACTCCAGAGACCCCTTCACACTCCTTTCCGGGGAGCAAGCACTCTTTGAAGAGCTATCAGCATTAACTAATTTTGCTCATTTTTGAACTTCATATAAATGGAATTGTGTGTCTGGCTTCTTTCACTCACTGTGATGTCTCCTACATCAGTCTGTGCTGTTATGTGTATCATATTTTATTTTATTTTATTTTGTGACTCACTATTCCATTGTATGAATATATCTTAATGTATATATCCATTCTGTTGATGGACTTGTGGATTGTTTCCAGTTTTGGGTTATTATGTATAAAGCTTCTATGAACACTCTTGTCTATGTCTTTTTGTGGGAATGTGCACCTGTTTTTCTTGGGTAGAGATAGCCAGGAGGGGATTTGCGGGGTCCTAGGATAGGCCTATGTTTAACTCTTCCGAGTGGTTGACCATTTGTGATCCTGTTTAAATGCTCATGATTCTGATTTGCATTTCACCAATTATGAGTGACTCTAAACATCTTTTCGCATGCTTGTGGGATGTTGGCCATCCTCTTTTTTGAGGTACCTGTTAGGTTGCCTGTTTTTTTAATGGTGTATTTATCTTTTTCTTAATGGTTTGTGGTAGTAGTTTATACAGTCTAGATACAAGTGCTTCATCTGATATATACATTGAGAATATCTTCTTCAGTCTGTGGCTTGCCTTTTCACTCTTTTAATAGTCTTTTTGTTGAACACACATTTTTAATTTTGATGAAGCATTTTATGGTTACTTCTTTGTGTGTTCTTGTTCGTTTGTTTTGTTTTTGAGTTGGAGTCTCACTCTGTCGCCCAGACTGGAGTGCAGTGGCACACTCCCAGCCACCGCAGCCTCGACCTGCTGAGCTCCAGCGATTTTTCACCTTAGCCTTCCAAATAGCCAGAACTATAGGCGTGCTACCACGCCCATCTAATCTTTTGATTTATTGTAGAGACAAGGTCTCGCCAAGTTGCCCAGGTGGGTCTTGAACCCGCGGACTCTGGCAGTCCACTTGCCTCGGCCTCCCAAAGTGCTGGGATTACAGGCTAAGCCACCAAGCTCAGCCTTTTGTGTGTGCTTCTTTAAAACATATTTGCCTGTCTCTAGGTCATGAAGACATTCTCTTATATTTTCTCCCACAAGCTTTTTTTTTTTTTTTTTAAGCTTTTTATTGTTAAGAAACAAGGTCTCGCTACATTGCCCAGACTTTCTTGAACTTCTGGGCTCAAGCATTTCTCCCACTCAGCCTCCTAAGTAGCTGGGATTATAGCCATATGTTACAACATCCTTAGAAAATTTACATTTTTAGCTTTCACATTTGGACCTATAATCCATACTGAAGGAATTTGTGTGTAGAGTGTGAACTACAGGGCAAGGTTTGTTCTTTCCATATTGGTATTTGTTTGCTCCAGCATCACTTATTTAAAACATCAATCTGCTCTCACTGAATTTGTGCCTTTGACACAAACCAGGTGATAATGTATCACCCATTTTTGGACTCTGTTCTGTTACATTGATCTATTTGTCCTTATATCAGTATTATACTTTCTTAAGCACTGAGCTTTATAGTGAGTCTTGGAATGTAGTATACAAGTCCACCAACTTTGTTCTACTTCAGTTTGTTTTGGCTACTTCAAATTCATTGCTTCTCTGTATACATTTTACAATAGGCTTGTCAGTTTCTTAAAAAACTTGCAGGAATCTTGATAGGGACTACACTGATTCTGTAGATCAATTTGGAAAATGTGTATACGTCAACAGTGGTGGGGGCCCTGTGCTTGATCCAGACATGACAACATTGTTTGATCCATGGATGGGGCTGGGACGTAGGTGTCTGCTACACAGCTAATTGACTGAGTTTAATTTTGTCATAAATTTATTTTATTATTTTTTTTAATTCATCATTGTACTAACAAGGATGAATTTAATTTTAAAATAACTGTTGACATTAACTTTTTTGAACTATGGTTTGAATTTCTGAATTAAACGTGTTATTAGCAGCGTTTTTATTTATGATTAGAGAATATTGATTTTTAAAACTGCAACTCCAACTATTTCTCAGTTTGGAAGTAGTTTTTTTGTTTTGTTTTGTTTTGTTTTTTTGAGTTGGAGTCTCACTCTGTCGCCCAGACTGGAGTACAGTGGCCGCTCCCGGCCATTGCAACCTCGACCTGCTGGGCTCC